GACGACTGTGTTCGCCGGCCACGGTTGCCGTTGACGCGTGCCGGCTTGGAAGTTTCCTGAGTTCTTTTTCGTGTCCGTGGATTTGGAGTTCGGATAACCGCAGGGTTACCTGAAATTTCTGGAGGACTTACCGTACTGGTTGTGATACCAGCACCAGCCGGGATTATCTGTCTCTCGTGGTCGAGAGACAGATCGCTTACGTGAAACGCTTCTTCGCGCGTTTCTTGACCGACTACGGTCATTAAGAAATCTATGGGGTGAGTGTATGACATAATTCGTTAATGTCATTCGGGGTCGTTTGAGACTTTTCTTTTACTGAAAAGACCTTAGCGCTAGTAGACTTCGTAATTTCTAGAATTCGATCCGCAGATGTGGCTAGTTCGTCTACAGCGTTGTTTTGGAACGAGACGAGAACTGCCTGCACCTGTTTCGGGAGTTTGGATAAGAAAAGTTGTTTGAATAGGCCTTCGTCTAAAGTTCTTTGACCTATTACTTCTCTCATCCTTAACAACATGTCCGTCACGGAACCATGTTGCAGGTCGATATTATTGAGGAGTTGGTCTAACCGTTGTCGGTCGGTTAGATCTCGACGTCTCAGAATCGATCGTTTTAACGTTTCGTGGGGTTACGAAACATCGCTAGTAAACGTACTAGATGTTACGTGCCTGTTGAATTCGCGCGGTAACCCCTTAACTACCACGAGGAATCGTGAGCGTGAGTCTGTAATGCCGTGGCCGTTAAAGTGGGCTTCTGCGTAGCAGAACCAGGACTCGATATTATCAGGCCAGAAGGGAGTTGATTGATTGGCTTCTGCGTAGCAGAACCAGGACTCGATATTATCAGGCCAGAAGGGAGTTGATTGAATCGATGACGGGGGAGTAGTCCTTAACTTAAATACTTTAGGTGACTGTTCCGTCATAGTAATATTAAGAACGTAAAATATTTGATTAAAATATATCCGGAAAAACTCGGGAAAAAAAGTAAATCACAATATACAAAAATCAAATAAAGAATAACAATGAATAATAATATTCCAAAAAGGAACAGACTCACAGTTTATTGGCTTGGTGTACCAGATCACGTCGGTCTCGCCACTGAGGATACGACTAGTATTCTGGCTTGACAACTAGCGACCAGTAGCACCTTCTATATGCGAAGCTCTTTCCTCCCAATGGAAATCGGAAGTCAGACGAGAAGAGGTAGGAAAGATATATTTGATACATTACCAATATATCGAGAAGCGTTTGTTCTTAGCTAGCTAGTGAACGTAGGGGCTGTGTCCCACGCCGAGTCGAAACGTGTTCTAGTGCGGATGCATGACCGAAAGCCTTCAGTTAAACAAGTCCACTTGAACAACGTGGTCAGCACCCAATGTCGAACATTTAGAAAGCTATTGATTTTGGGGAGTTATTTACAGATACAAAATGTTTGCACTACAAGACAGAGAGAGCTAAATTAATCTACTTAATTATTTCGTGGTTTTGCTGCAGTAAAATATCACTTTAATATGGGAACACCTAATGTTTGTGCAACCCAACAAACCCACTGTAATTGAATTACGAATCGGCCGCCTCATGCCAGGCCGCTCAAGGTCGTTCCGACGAAACGGCGGGCGGCTTTGAGAGGACCCAGAGGACAACCAACCGACCCTCAACAAATCAAATACGGAATGACCGCCTCGTGTCAGGCCGTTCAAGGTCGCAAAAAGGAAACGGCGGGCAGGTTTGCAAACGCACTGACTTATTTACCTTGCCTTTTTTTACTGTTACTGCGTCGACTCATCTATGCATCATGTCTCGTCCGCCATCCAGTTATTAGCGACCAACTTCGTGGGTTGCACTGACATGGGTTAGCTGTTAAACAACAAAATATAGTTTCTACAGTAGCAATGCATGTGACTTATCACGTAAATTCCTATTGCAAAACACCTATGATATTAAGGGGACTCTTGATCGAGCGCAATCTACCAGTGGATTCTGTCGATAGAAATATAGCAAACATCAGTGCTAAAATATTACATGCAGTATAAAAGTTGAAATGGATATAAAGTATATTTTAAAGCTCAGGTATGTGCATGAGACGCCTTAGCTGACTAAAAAAACATATCAGCGAATAACACATGGCTGCATCGTAGATTCTTCAATAAAAATAAAAAAGTTAGCATCGGTGTTCAAAATAAATAAAATTGCATTTCGTAGATTTAAATAAAAAACGGTGAACTAATATATTTAAAAAAAAAGGAATGAAATGTTGAAGACGGAAAATAATCGTGAGCGAGTATAGGCCCGGGTGCCCTAACCGAAACTGGTGGTTTTCTTAGGGGAACACACACCGAGCCTTCGACCTAAAAGTCTGATCCACGAGGCAGTGGAGTATCGTAAGTAGATACAGTCCCACGGTAGCCGGTGACCAACGATTGATTCATACGCCATTTGTTCCCTCAGGATACTGGAGCCCATGTGCACCATTGGTTTGGAATCAGGGTTTTCCAACTTCCCTAGGTAGACTTTCCGTGTCCACCAACCCGGTTAAAGCGCCGGACATTCGCTCTTCGTCCTCTCGATTTCGTAAACAACAATAATACCACGAGAAAGCAGTGAGTAGGAATTCCCTGGCAGTGGTTGTATGCACGTGGTCATGTGAGAGCATTTTGAGAGGGAGAGCTGACTCTCTTCACCGTCGGTCGTACCAGGGCATTTGGGGGCAAATAATTATGCCGCCAATCATTCGTAGATACATTGGAATATTAAGAGATGCATCATTGCTACCAAAACTAAATGATAGATCAGTGTGTTCTTGGTGGACAATCAATCGTCATTTAAACTAGATAGCAATATAACCGAGGAAGATGAAAACTTTATTCTCCATGGTTTTCTGATCATCTTAAATATGCCATTTCATGCAATAGTTCATACGCAAGTCAATTGTATAATCGGAGAGTACTTTTAATTCGACCGGAGACATTGGTAAACCGTTTGTTGGTTGACCATAATGAATTTTAGCTACCCACAAATTCCGGTTTACTTCTATGAAAGCTAAATTGTACGAAAAATTAACTTCAGACAATCTTAATGTCCCGATTTCTAGTTCCAACTAATAATAACTCAGATGAAGAATAAAATAAATACCTTTAAAAAACGTATCTCTATGCAAGGGAAATATGTGAGGAAGTGTTGGTCTAACGGTTTTTTTTTCAAATAGCATCATTTAGCTTAAAATGACATTCAAGACCACTTGTGTGGCACAGAAATGCATCATGCTACCGCAAATTCAGGTTTCTAACCAAGTCAATATTGTAGCTTGCACCCATTAAAGATATTCCATGCCATAAGCGGAGGACAGGTAGCTTAAAAACGTTTTTCTGTTCCAGACTTAGTGGTATTTGGAGTTCCACACCGAGTGCGTGACTACTGATTGCAGTAAGTACAAACTTCGGTACTTACTCCTGATACCCCACGTGAAGGAGCACCGGCCGTCCACCAGCATTCTCCATCGAACTCTGTCCTGGGAAATCCTATCCAGTTGCTATTCATCCTTTTGATGTCTGCTTCCAATCCTCTACGCAGTGTGTTCTTTGGTATTTCTCTTTTCCGTTTCCCTTCAAGACTCCAAGTTTGGGCTTGCTTCATAATGCAGTTTGATGATTTCCTCAATGTATGTCCTATCCACTTCTAACGTCTTTTCCCAATTTCCTCTTCAGCTGGAAGCTGGTTTGTTCTCTCCCACAGTAGGCTGCTGTCGATATATCTAACCAACGGACATTGAGTATCTTGTTTAGACAATTGTTCATAAATACTTGTACGTTTTTGATGATGGTTGTGGTAGTTCTTCTAGCTTCAGCTCCGTACTGCAGGACTGTCTTGATGTTTGTGTTGAATATTGTGACTTTGATATTAGTTGATAGTTGTTTTGATTTCCATATGCATTCTTCAACTGTAAGAATGCGGCCCTTGCTTTGCCAATCTTTGCCTTTACGTCTGCATCAGATCCTCCTTGTTCGTCGATGATGCTGCCCAGGCACGTGAAAGTTTTCACCTCTTCCAGAATTTCTCCATCAAGTGTGATTGGGTTGGTGTTCTCCGTGTTGTATTTGAGGACCTTGCTTTTTCCCTTGTGTATGTTGAGGCCTACTGATACGGGGGTTTCTGCTACACCAACTGTCTTCACTTGCATTTGTTACTGTTTATGAAATAAAAGAGCTAGGTCATCTGCAAAGTCCAAGCTGTCTGTTGTATTCCGTGTTTCCGCTCAGATGTCGAGGTCTTCAAAGTCCACTCAACTACCAGAAGAAAGAGAAAGGGGGAGAGTAAGCAGGCTTGTCTGACTCCAGTCCTCACCTGGAATACGTCTGTCAGCTGTCTTCCATGCACGACTTTGCCGTATAGTCCGTCGCATGAATTCCGGATGATGTTGACAATTTTGTCAGGTACACCATAGTGTCGAAGAAGGTCCTCTTATCCACATTGTCAAATGCTTCCTCATAATCAAGGAAGTTGATGTATAGTGACGAGTTTCATTCAGTTTATTGTTAAATGATGATCCATGCTGTCGCAATTTGATCTGTGCACGACGGATCCTTACGGGATCCATCCTGTTGATCTCGAAGTCGGTCGACTACTGAGTCTTTCATCCGATCCAGCAATACTGAAAACTTTTCCCGGTACCGATAATAGCGTGATGCCTTTACAGTTTTCACAATCGCTCAGAACTCCTTTCTTTGGTATCCTGATGAGATATTCTTCTTTCCAGTCTGTCGGTGGCACTTGTCCCTCCCGATAAATCTTCCTGAATAGGATGCAGAGTATGTTTGCAGCTGCTTCTATGTCTGACTTCAGTGCTTCAGCTGGTATATTGTAGGTCCTACTGCTTTCCGATTCTTGATTTGTCTGATGGCCATGCTGATTTCTTCGGTCGTTGGTGGAGTGACATCTAAAGGAGAGTTTGTAGGTGCTGTTTCGATGTCCGGTGAATTTAATGGAGCTGGTGTATTCAGAAGTTCTTCAGAATGTCCTAACCATCTATTCCTTTGTTTTGAATCTGATAGATGGATAAGTTATTTATGTTTTTGTTTTTTTGAGATCTCTCACACTCACACTCCAAGAATTACAGCGGGTTATTACTCTTTGACAAAGTTTGACATTTGTAATGTTATTCGCGATCTACAGGCGGTCTAATCCCTAACAGACGCTACCGATTTCGCAGTCCTTTTTCTAGCCAGGTCACTGGTCGGGGATGACTGACCTTGATCTTTATAGTGAAATTGTAGCTGAAGATGATGAAAAAAGACTGGAATATCTGTGCAGTTTGGATGTGGTATCAAATTTTTCATAAAATTTACTTTATTGATTTTGATAAATTTTTTCCTACTGTTGCTTTGATTCATCATATCTTGATTTCAAGCAATAAGACGTCGCAAGCGTCAGCTCCAGTATCAAGCCCACTTTAGTATCAGGGGTCTACTTGTTTCGACCGTTCTCATGGTCAACGTAAAATTAGACATGGTCTTACAACATAAAAACACGAATTCCCTATTGAGAAACGACTGCGTTGATGGTGTACCAGAAATATTTTAGCACGGTGTGTCGAACATCGTTTGATATCGTGATTTGCAAATAAGGCACATTTTGTGGCAAGGAGTGTGTAGACAGTTATCAAGTTACAGTCCTTAGATCATACCTAATTACTCTGGAAAATATTCGGAATTTGCCATAGTTGTTTTTATGGCTTTTAGTCTTTATTTTTTCTTGTCACACGCTGAGAACTAAAAGCTAATATAGACTTTCTTTCTTAAAGCCCGAACATGTACGTTCTCTCCAAACCCAGTCTTCTTTGTTGGAGGCAGAAGTTGAGGCGCTGAATGCACATGTCAGTCGTCTAGAAAAAGAACGCTTGGTTTTAATTGCCAAAAAAGATCAGATTACGGACAACTTCTTCCGCTTGGGACTTGCTTGTCGCAGAGAGATAGAGAAGCTAAAGTCACAAATCAAATTACTTTGCACGAAGTAAGTAGATTTGTAAGATTTTTATCAATCTTGTGGATTCTAGTTTTATGCTTTGATCGTAAAATATCATATCTAACGTGGCTTGGTGATGTCGTTCGAGTATTTAAACTTGTCTGTATTTCGGTTCTTAGCCCAAACTATTCAGAGACTCCTAACTACCCAAAGTCATAGGTCAGTTAACCTGACGTCTCAGTAACATTCTCTTAAGGCTTATCAACAATCCGTCTCTCCCTCTGCTAGTCTTGCTGACTATAGGCCTTTGGGAAACAATCCAAGTAATTGCTGACTACTATCTGATGACAACTTAATACCTGCCATTTCTCATGGTCGTTGTATAACGTTTAATTCAGTGCGTAAATTGTTTTGGCTTCGTCGAGGCAATGAGTAATTACTGTTCAGAGGTCACCCAGAGTAAAGTAGTAGTCTTCTACCTATACAACCTAGCAACGCGCCACAACAGTGATTTATCTGACTTTGCATCAGAAGTAATCAAGTCAATTAGCTTAGTATTGTAAGGAAATAGTTGGTTGTCAAAATGAAATAATAAAAGACGTGTTCCTTAAACGTAAGGAAATCACCCATTACTAAGACTTTCCTTGGATCTTACCGGGTATGCTATGTGTCCTATTTTAAATAGGGTCTTTATATTGAATACTTTACTGGGTAGTTAACAGTATGCTTTCAGCCGAGCATGAGTGGTATTCCAGTCTACTGAAATCGACATTAAATGCTACATATTTGAAACTCATATGTTTTGTGACTGCAGCTACCTCGCCTATCCACATGGCAGAAGGTAATATCCTCTTAAGATACATGTCACTTAAAGGAAGTTAGTTTTGTGCTATCAAACATGTACTTCTTGTAAGTTCTAACAGTTGAAGAGTCTCGTCAATGTCTTAACGGACGATTTTCGATGGCGAATAGCGTTAAGTCTAGAAAAAAATCACGTTTCTAGCAATGACCTGTGAATCTCTCTTAACATGAAAAGGCAAACCCCCGTAGAATCAAGTTTTCGTCTTTCACATTCCTATCCAGTTGTCAGTATGACTTCATTCCTGGTACCATCACACGTTACTGTAAATACTGCATGATTAAAATTGTACCTGTGAAATGTGCCCGATGCGTTTAATCCAATAATTTCCCCGATTAGACAACACCGTATTCTCTATGTTATCTATACATTATAATTATTACTCTTAGTACCGTCTTCTTTTCGCCTTCTCTGCGCTGACGCAGCAATGCATTAGTCACAACAAGTTCTACGTTATTCATGCCTGTTTAAGTGATGCTAATCTACAATTACTGCATTCACAGTTATGGTTGTGAGCATGCGTCATCCTAAAATGAATGATAGAGTATTGATCAATTGATACAAAATGATACAACGTTAGCAAACGATGATTACTCAGTGATTGTGCACAGTTTAACAAGAATCTTAAAGAGTGGACAATATTGCCTCTTTAATTTAATTTAAGTGCAAAATTTGGTTATTTACAGAAATGACGAAATATTCAGACAACTAAGAGTAAATAATAGAAGGTTGCTGAGTATCCTTTCGGTTTTGAACTTCAAATATTAAACTAATTCCTATCCATTATGACGGTAACCATATACTTTTTGGTTACTTAGGTAGACAGTATTGTGGTTTAACGTTTTTAAAAATCGATTTGGAGTCTTCTTTGTTAAGCCGATTATCATGATATGTATAAGATACTTGCCACTTATTTCAGTTGGTCAGTATATTACAGGTTGATTTAACAATCCTTTTGTTATTTTGCTTTTAATTTTTTAATAAGCGTTTATCTGAATGTTACATTTTATGCTGATGAATGCACCCACCCCAACACTTTTTAAAGTCAATTTTTAATCAAAAGGTAGATTGTAGCAATCGTTTGATGCTGTGGTTTTATGAATGTATCTACCAATTTTTTGATGAACAGTCATAGAGTATGGCGATAGAAGTCGCTGTTTACATTCTATAAGCCTATCATCTATGACGAAAATAACAGTCAATAATAAGGAAACCGGCATTATTAATTGTTATCATTCGATCACTTAATCATTGATACAAGGCAGCACCGAATACATATGCTACACACAATAACAATCAAGCCAGTAGTAGTTATCATTGATCTGCGTAAAGGCTGTGACACTGCCCGGGTGCCCAAACCGAAACAGATGGTTTTCTTAGGGGAACACACACCGAGCCTTCGACCTAAAAGTCTGATCCACGAGGCAGTGGAGTATCGTAAGTAGATACAGTCCCACGGTAGCCGGTGACCAACGATTGATTCATACGCCATTTGTTCCCTCAGGATACTGGAGCCCATGTGCACCATTGGTTTGGAATCAGGGTTTTCCAACTTCCCTAGGTAGACTTTCCGTGTCCACCAACCCGGTTAAAGCGCCGGACATTCGCTCTTCGTCCTCTCGATTTCGTAAACAACAATAATACCACGAGAAAGCAGTGAGTAGGAATTCCCTGGCAGTGGTTGTATGCACGTGGTCATGTGAGAGCATTTTGAGAGGGAGAGCTGACTCTCTTCACCGTCGGTCGTACCAGGGCATTTGGGGGCAAATAATTATGCCGCCAATCATTCGTAGATACATTGGAATATTAAGAGATGCATCATTGCTACCAAAACTAAATGATAGATCAGTGTGTTCTTGGTGGACAATCAATCGTCATTTAAACTAGATAGCAATATAACCGAGGAAGATGAAAACTTTATTCTCCATGGTTTTCTGATCATCTTAAATATACCATTTCATGCAATAGTTCATACGCAAGTCAATTGTATAATCGGAGAGTACTTTTAATTCGACCGGAGACATTGGTAAACCGTTTGTTGGTTGACCATAATGAATTTTAGCTACCCACAAATTCCGGTTTACTTCTATGAAAGCTAAATTGTACGAAAAATTAACTTCAGACAATCTTAATGTCCCGATTTCTAGTTCCAACTAATAATAACTCAGATGAAGAATAAAATAAATACCTTTAAAAAACGTATCTCTATGCAAGGGAAATATGTGAGGAAGTGTTGGTCTAACGGTTTTTTTTTCAAATAGCATCATTTAGCTTAAAATGACATTCAAGACCACTTGTGTGGCACAGAAATGCATCATGCTACCGCAAATTCAGGTTTCTAACCAAGTCAATATTGTAGCTTGCACCCATTAAAGATATTCCATGCCATAAGCGGAGGACAGGTAGCTTAAAAACGTTTTTCTGTTCCAGACTTAGTGGTATTTGGAGTTCCACACCGAGTGCGTGACTACTGATTGCAGTAAGTACAAACTTCGGTACTTACTCCTGATACCCCACGTGAAGGAGCACCGGCCGTCCACCAGCATTCTCCATCGAACTCTGTCCTGGGAAATCCTATCCAGTTGCTATTCATCCTTTTGATGTCTGCTTCCAATCCTCTACGCAGTGTGTTCTTTGGTATTTCTCTTTTCCGTTTCCCTTCAAGACTCCAAGTTTGGGCTTGCTTCATAATGCAGTTTGATGATTTCCTCAATGTATGTCCTATCCACTTCTAACGTCTTTTCCCAATTTCCTCTTCAGCTGGAAGCTGGTTTGTTCTCTCCCACAGTAGGCTGCTGTCGATATATCTAACCAACGGACATTGAGTATCTTGTTTAGACAATTGTTCATAAATACTTGTACGTTTTTGATGATGGTTGTGGTAGTTCTTCTAGCTTCAGCTCCGTACTGCAGGACTGTCTTGATGTTTGTGTTGAATATTGTGACTTTGATATTAGTTGATAGTTGTTTTGATTTCCATATGCATTCTTCAACTGTAAGAATGCGGCCCTTGCTTTGCCAATCTTTGCCTTTACGTCTGCATCAGATCCTCCTTGTTCGTCGATGATGCTGCCCAGGCACGTGAAAGTTTTCACCTCTTCCAGAATTTCTCCATCAAGTGTGATTGGGTTGGTGTTCTCCGTGTTGTATTTGAGGACCTTGCTTTTTCCCTTGTGTATGTTGAGGCCTACTGATACGGGGGTTTCTGCTACACCAACTGTCTTCACTTGCATTTGTTACTGTTTATGAAATAAAAGAGCTAGGTCATCTGCAAAGTCCAAGCTGTCTGTTGTATTCCGTGTTTCCGCTCAGATGTCGAGGTCTTCAAAGTCCACTCAACTACCAGAAGAAAGAGAAAGGGGGAGAGTAAGCAGGCTTGTCTGACTCCAGTCCTCACCTGGAATACGTCTGTCAGCTGTCTTCCATGCACGACTTTGCCGTATAGTCCGTCGCATGAATTCCGGATGATGTTGACAATTTTGTCAGGTACACCATAGTGTCGAAGAAGGTCCTCTTATCCACATTGTCAAATGCTTCCTCATAATCAAGGAAGTTGATGTATAGTGACGAGTTTCATTCAGTTTATTGTTAAATGATGATCCATGCTGTCGCGATTTGATCTGTGCACGACGGATCCTTACGGGATCCATCCTGTTGATCTCGAAGTCGGTCGACTACTGAGTCTTTCATCCGATCCAGCAATACTGAAAACTTTTCCCGGTACCGATAATAGCGTGATGCCTTTACAGTTTTCACAATCGCTCAGAACTCCTTTCTTTGGTATCCTGATGAGATATTCTTCTTTCCAGTCTGTCGGTGGCACTTGTCCCTCCCGATAAATCTTCCTGAATAGGATGCAGAGTATGTTTGCAGCTGCTTCTATGTCTGACTTCAGTGCTTCAGCTGGTATATTGTAGGTCCTACTGCTTTCCGATTCTTGATTTGTCTGATGGCCATGCTGATTTCTTCGGTCGTTGGTGGAGTGACATCTAAAGGAGAGTTTGTAGGTGCTGTTTCGATGTCCGGTGAATTTAATGGAGCTGGTGTATTCAGAAGTTCTTCAGAATGTCCTAACCATCTATTGCTTTGGACAGCATCAGAGCAAATCCTTGTTTGTGCGAAGCATTTCCTTCCTTTTGATCAGATTAGAACATCCTTTCTTTCGAATCTAACCTTTTCTGTTTAGCTTGGGTCCAATGTGTCTCACTGACTCTGAGAACGTTCAAGTTGTATCTCCTCAGTCAAGTAACTGTTTGGTTGGTCATCTGTTCTCCCACATTGTCTGGATGTTCCATGTACCTATAAAAATTGTTATTGTGGTTGTTAGAAGGGGCATCAACCTCGTGACTTCCGAAGAATCTCGGCTTTCATCCTGAGGCGTCATAATTCTTCCTCCAACTGGGAAGTCAGAGTTTAAATGGTTTGTTATTTAGCAAGATTTGTTTCTAAGGTATGGGGTTGTTGCCCCATGCCTTACTCTCCCTCTTTGTGTGGTCTTAGGACCAGTAGTAACCTGAGAAGAGCTTCAAGCGGATTTATATACTTGGTTAGTCAGCTAACTGCTACAGTTGGAATACTGAATTGAATGTTGAACAATAAAAACATTAATGAAAGTGTCTGAACAACCTTCACTTCCCTCAATAAAATTTATCACGTGAAAGAGGTGTAATGCGAGATAATATTCTGTCAGTCTCTCACTTGCACAATAAATCCGGAGTTCCATAGTCTAATGTAAATTCTTTTTTTCCACTTGCATAAAGCTGCAAACTACATAACGTAGGTCTCTATACTATAGTACAGTAATTCAATCTGTTTCACTTTGCTACAGAACAGAAAAATGAAATGAACAATAGGATGAATGCCGTAAAATGAGTGATTTTCTTGTATATTGGAAAGTTAGTAAGTACATTCGCATTTTTGTAATCGATTTCGAGCCATGTCACTTACTGTCTTCATACATTAAGTGCTCAGTTGTGAAAGGCTTCACGCATATATAATACACTTATCCACACAGCTTAAACTAATATTATTAAGTAACTTTATAAATTAATTCAATGTTTGGGTCTATCCACTTACATAATTTTTGCTACACAACGACTTGAACTAGCATCGTTCTAGAGTTGGAGGTCATTCATCGTATCCAACACGTTCTCCAGCCGCATTCGTGAACCAAAGTTCAAAATATCATCAAGTATCACTTCCTTATTGATTTTGACTCTGCCTAACTTTAAATGGTTTTAGCCGCGTCAACATAAACAGTTAAGATTTTTCTTATTTGGCTGTCTAAATTATGGAATGTTGGACAGTCGTTACCTAATCTCCATACTTCTCAAATATCGTAATTCATGTTTTCGTTTGTGCAATGTAAAACTTTGATCCTAGATATAGGGTTCCAGAACCAAAAGCTGTTAGCCAAAAGAATTTGAACTGTGATACCCAAATAAACCCCGAGAAGCAGAATTACTACACTGATCTAGTAGCATATTTACATTCTGATCGTCCACCTATCAACATATACTCTGGTAACAATGTGCCGAATAGAAATCCTAATGTTCCAAAGTGCGACGCAGTCACACAGACTGAACATGTTAAAAAATATAATCCACAGTCATCTGGATCTTCTTTCGGTTCACAGTCATCACGTTCAGTGTCGTCAAGCTCATCATCATCATCATCGTCATCATCTACGTCATCTTCCAGTTCTACTAGTCAGGATCAACCTCCGTCACAAACTGGTTCAATGAACAATGGACTCGGACATAGCTTCCTAGACACATCTGTAGATGGTAAACCGTTACTATCACGTTCACTTTCTGTAGTTGATGTCGGTGGAAAGAATTTAGAGAATTGTGGATGCCGTGACTCAGTTAAACATGGAGTGTATGAGAAATCCTGTGGACTCAAGCAAAATGGTGCTTTATCTGGAAGTTTACGTGTCAGTAAACGGCTAAATCGCTCTAATAAGAAATCCGGAGATAAAAGCATACCAGCTTATAATGCCGATAAACAACTTCCTATAGTCGACGAATGTAGGCGCAAATATACTAAAACTATTCATGGTCAATTATTTTCTAAATCTCATTGCTTCCATCAAAGGAAACAAAAAGATGATGAAGTTGCAAATAATCCCGGAGGAAAAACAGACACATCGTCAGAAAGCAGAATTTTATCAATGCGAGGAGTTAGAAAATTTTCATCGCCATTAAATAATAGTGTAAACAAACACTCTTCCGTTCGAAGTTCTACTTCAAAGGACTTTAGAATGGTTCAACATGTTTCTCCTTCCTTACGTAGACTCACTCAAAGTAAGACTAATGAATCTTGTAAGTTTTTAGTATAAATTTAAATACTCTTATGCTCACTGTGAATACTTCAGCAGCCTAAGATCATTATGGAATATCGTATGTATCGTATTTCATAAGCTGAACATAAGTTTAATGCAGAGTCTCAATAAAATGCACTTCATTATACGAGTTTTGCCATTTAAAAGATGGGTTTTTTTCGATAGGTATCATTACCAAGGTTTGGCTTGATAATTTCGAATAAATTGAGTATTGGGCAGATTGTTATAAATAAATTAATATATTTGTAATATCCTAATGAGTAGAAAATTAGATTTTCTGACGTTTCATGACTCAGTGTAAGCCACTTCTTCAGAGAATAAATAACCAAGTCAAGATTAATCCAAATTTAAAAAGTACGACGGAACAACACAAGAATATTATGTGCGATCAATCAAAAACATCAAAATATTACAAAAAGGTTTTTCCAATTACAAAGAAAGGAGAGTAGCTGAAGCGTTCCATGTAATGCTGAATCCTACTGCTCTCGATAGAAAAGAAGGCCTTGCTATACATCCTAATCGGACAATCTACCCTAGCCACTTAGTCTGATATTATTCATGTTTCACACTACTATCTTACATACAAATTAAACTATCCTTTCTCACCATAAATGTCACACATTTTTTTCATCCTTAACCGTGCACACATACACAAATTTACATACACGTTGCTTATGAATCACCTTGACCGAAATGACATAGATTTGTTCGGACCTGTTTTTTGGTTGGTCGCACATAATATTCTTGTGTTGTTCCGTTGCACTATTTAAACTTGGATTAATTTTGGTCTGGCTATTTATTTTCTGAAGAAGTAGCTTACACTGAGTCACGAAACGTCAGAAAATCTAATTTTTCTACTCATTGTGATATTACAAATATACTAGTTTTTTTGTGTGGATAGTTATGAATAAAATCAATTTCATTTGATCTGATGTTTAATAATCATTTAAGCGGTAGTTATATGAACGACAACTTGTTTGATAAACTAAGTATTTAGGTGGTTTGTTGATTTGGTTACAAATCTACACCCCATTTTATTTGGGTCTAATTTGAATATAAGAGCTGACTCAAAAGCCAAAGTTCATATCTTCATATGCGCACCTATACATGGATACTCAGCTACATTTATCAAAAGAAAAACGATGTCGATGCCTTTATTATTTATGATGGTAAATATTTGCAGATAAAAAAAAATAAAATACGATTAATATTCTCTGTAAATCGTGTTGAGGCTGTTATCTAAAGCACATCTAAAATTCACTCTTGGGTCTTTTTTAATTTCATCAGGAAGGGGTTTTGTGGAGATATTAGAGTTAAATTCATGAGTCGATCGAAGCTAGACCACGATGGAAAACCTGGAAGCACTGGACGTCCTAGCAGCTTCTACGAACCTGAACTGTGGTGTTAAGGACATAAGAAGTCTCTTGTTGTGCTTAATTCTCATTCTTTACTAAATTTAGAGCATCACAGTTGAACAAATAGCTGAATTATATGACAGTAATATGTCTAGATCAGAGAGCTTATTTTATTTATAGAGGCCAAATAACTTTGACAGATCACATAAATACGATTAGCAATCTATTGAGTAAAAAAACTAATGTAAGTCGAATTAAGAAGTAAAAAATACTGTGCAATATATTCAGCCGTATTGTTCTTTTCAAAAAGTAATGGGGTCACTTTAAACTTCGATTTCATCGCTCACAAACTTCTTGATGTTTTAAGACTGGAATCATGCCCTAATGCACACAATAAGGCAGGATAATTTTCTAAATTTCCCAAGTCACATCATACTTTGTTTACCTTGGTTAGTTTTCACACTTTCTCATTCACAATAAACAGTGATCAAAACCTCTCCCAATTTCTTACATGTTTTGTGGTTTTATTCACTACTCTAGGGTAAATTTGGTTTCAGCTGTAACTACGTTAACGCTTTCAAGCGAGTGCTTAGCTGTGTTTATTCATTTGGCACGAGGTGCAGCAACTTGAATCGATATACATACGTACCAGGTTCTACGTTACGACTCACTGACTATGTGTATCAGTCGCATCACTCCTAGTTTCCTTTTCAAGTCTGACTCACGATTACATGGATGACAAATCATATCCATAGTAACCACCTGTAAGGTGTTTATAGGTCGTCTTTCTTCCCGAGGTGACAATAAGCAGATAACCTATACTAAAATCTGCTAACTCCGAATCCTCCTTGATTTATTCTGTTTTGATTGAGACCATGAATGGATCAATGTTAGACGACCATTGAAAACCTGGAAGCACTGGATGGCCGTTTCGTCCTAGTATGGGACTCCTCAGCGGTGTGCATACTAGGATGTGTTCACTAATGACTAGCATCAAGATGGATTTCCTAGAATACTGCTGAGAAGCCGTGACCAGTGGAGTTCAACCGTGTCTGGTGTGGGGCTGTTACTCACTGAAGACAATGGAGGGCGGTCGCGTAATATCGTGGATTGGTTGAAATTAGACATTAACACCGTTGGATGCCGTCTCAGTGGTCTAGATGTTAAGCGTTCGCGCGTGAGACCGAAGGTACTGGGTTTGAATCCCACGTACGGGATCAAGAATGTGCACTGCTGATGAGTCTCATACTAGGACGAAGCAGTCGTTCAGTGCTTCCAGGCTTTCAGTGGTCGTCCAACATTGATCCATTCATGATCTCAATCAAAACTCAAAAATCTCCACAACCCTATACGTATTATTCTGTTTTGTTGCAGTCATATTCAAGTGGTGAGTAATTTGTTGTCGTCGCTGTCTGTTTAGACCTATTGTATGTATGTAGTTCAGTGTAATAACTGCCATATTTCCGTGGTTAAAATGTGAGCTTATTAGATCGTGTTCTTAATCAAACGTAATACTATGTAAATGCTCTTAAAATATCTTTCGATCAATCGCTTTTATACAGGTATTAACTACGTAGAAGTATACCTTGTAATTCTACTGCCAACCAACTTTAAAATTTCATCTGTATATCTAAATGGGATAAACGGGTCGTAAGTGTAAGAAGTATGATAAACATTTTTGGCTTTTGTTTGCTGATATTGAATTCTACTGTCACAGGAATCGTTTGCTGTCACTGTATAGCCGCTTGCCTATCTGCGCTCTTATCTTCACCTTACTCTGTAAAACGAGTACATTTCTACTTTTGCGTACATTATTGTACCTTCTTTACTTTCCTGGTAGGTTAATAAAGTAGTGGCATTCTAACATTTCACTTTTCAGGTACTGGTCCAGATTCATCTTGCCGAGGTCATGTTCCGAATCATCTCCTGAAGGCTGTAGAAGGCGCCATACGATTATCTCGCGATCACCACACAGTTCGCAGACAACATAATGCAGGTAAATTGTTTATTATGTAGCTTTTGTCAAATTGTACCTATGCAACCAGTATTTTTTCTTCCCGTTCAACCTTAAATCCAGGCAGTAGTAATAGTCTTCGTAGGTTATCACAGGTCCGCCTGAGAAACTAGGTAAATGTGCTGTCCGTTTGTTCTCTTGGTAGCGAATTTAGGGAAGTTTTAAACTGATCTCGTAAATAGACTATATCTTTCTGAAAAATGCTTTATGTAAACAAAGCTTATTCACGTGTGTAGAAATTTGTCACCTCTATTGCTTATTCACCTTATTTTTAGTGCTGCAGTTCCTCTCACATCTATATTTTTGTACATTATGTTCGGACTATTTTTCCGAAATTTTATCTTCACAAAGTTTTTTTTTCTTAGCCAATTCAATCCACCGTGATCGATATTCAAAACACTTACACCGTAACTATCAAACTCATACTGAAATATCTCGTTTGGAAAGTGGTGATTGCTCAAGCGAACCCGAAAGACGAACTAGGGAAGCTAGTTGTACACTGTACACAAAACGTCTACGTTGTAAAGGCGATAGTACAAATATGATCGTCGAGTCAACTTCTCGAGACCCAAATGATTCAGGTCACAAACCAGATAAAGAAACTGATCAGTTAACTTCTAATGAGAATGCTACGCCTAATGCTTTAATTCCTGATTCATCAAACACTATTGGTGATATTCACCTTCTTAGAGATTATTCGGCTCAGGAAATCGTCCATGACTCTAATGAACAAGTATCAAACTCTGTCAACCCGTCTGATCAATCTTCAAATCAGTTCTTGCCAAAAAACGCTTCATTCTCTTCTATAGAAAACAAAGTTGGCGAATTAGTTATTCCAGAAGTTTTGGGACTCACTCCACCTATTTCTAATGATCAGGATTGTGTTGAAGATAAAACTGATTCACCTCTCACAAGGTCCGTTTTCCTCAAATGTTTTTTTCAAAATTTATTTTCTATGACGATTTATCTAAAATAAAGCAAAAATGAATACCTGTCTATGTAGTTTCCTGTAAACGTTTAATGGAGGACCACTCATATACTGTAAATAACTTTTCTCTTACTATCTTTATTGTTAGTACGTTCACGGAAAAATTATCTTACAACCCAGTTATCTGTTTCTTATTCTAGTAAACAAGCTTATACTTGAACAATTAGTTGTTTTAATAGCAGTACATGCCTGGTTATCCCACGGTTACAATTCTGGTTCTTGAAACACTAACTCATCGATCGATCACCTGTGGCATTGTATCCATTTCCACATTGTATAGATATCAATTTGGGCTATTTCGTATCGTATGAAGTTCATTATAGAAAATTCAGAACCTGTTCTGGCGAAACAGTAGATCTACACTTATTGACCTATTGTGAATACAATGACTATCTAACGTTCAACAAGATTTTTTCCGTGTTAGTAAACTGAGTATCATATAGAATAATATCTGCGTAAATTAGATTCTTTGTTTGAATTTCACCATATGCTTTCAGAATTAGGTACTTGCCTCCATTAGGTTCAATGTTCAAATACAGAACTTAATGTTTTAGACAAGATAAAAGTTACTATGATTAAAAAAGTGATATTCATTTCCATTCGAGGGGATCATTTGTAGTTTGCAATCCACTTAATTACTTACGCCTGTTACCCATCATGGAGGGGTGGATCCTCCATATCCACCAACTCGGTTAAAACGCCGGACATTCGCTCTTCGTCCTCTCGATTTCGTAAACAACAATAATACCACGAGAAAGCAGTGAGTAGGAATTCCCTGGCAGTGGTTGTATGCACGTGGTCATGTGAGAGCATTTTGAGAGGGAGAGCTGACTCTCTTCACCGTCGGTCGTACCAGGGCATTTTGGGGGCAAATAATTATGCCGCCAATCATTCGTAGATACATTGGAATATTAAGAGATGCATCATTGCTACCAAAACTAAATGATAGATCAGTGTGTTCTTGGTGGACAATCAATCGTCATTTAAACTAGATAGCAATATAACCGAGGAAGATGAAAACTTTATTCTCCATGGTTTTCTGATCATCTTAAATATGCCATTTCATGCAATAGTTCATACGCAAGTCAATTGTATAATCGGAGAGTACTTTTAATTCGACCGGAGACATTGGTAAACCGTTTGTTGGTTGACCATAATGAATTTTAGCTACCCACAAATTCCGGTTTACTTCTATGAAAGCTAAATTGTACGAAAAATTAACTTCAGACAATCTTAATGTCCCGATTTCTAGTTCCAACTAATAATAACTCAGATGAAGAATAAAATAAATACCTTTAAAAAACGTATCTCTATGCAAGGGAAATATGTGAGGAAGTGTTGGTCTAACGGTTTTTTTTTCAAATAGCATCATTTAGCTTAAAATGACATTCAAGACCACTTGTGTGGCACAGAAATGCATCATGCTACCGCAAATTCAGGTTTCTAACCAAGTCAATATTGTAGCTTGCACCCATTAAAGATATTCCATGCCATAAGCGGAGGACAGGTAGCTTAAAAACGTTTTTCTGTTCCAGACTTAGTGGTATTTGGAGTTCCACACCGAGTGCGTGACTACTGATTGCAGTAAGTACAAACTTCGGTACTTACTCCTGATACCCCACGTGAAGGAGCACCGGCCGTCCACCAGCATTCTCCATCGAACTCTGTCCTGGGAAATCCTATCCAGTTGCTATTCATCCTTTTGATGTCTGCTTCCAATCCTCTACGCAGTGTGTTCTTTGGTATTTCTCTTTTCCGTTTCCCTTCAAGACTCCAAGTTTGGGCTTGCTTCATAATGCAGTTTGATGATTTCCTCAATGTATGTCCTATCCACTTCTAACGTCTTTTCCCAATTTCCTCTTCAGCTGGAAGCTGGTTTGTTCTCTCCCACAGTAGGCTGCTGTCGATATATCTAACCAACGGACATTGAGTATCTTGTTTAGACAATTGTTCATAAATACTTGTACGTTTTTGATGATGGTTGTGGTAGTTCTTCTAGCTTCAGCTCCGTACTGCAGGACTGTCTTGATGTTTGTGTTGAATATTGTGACTTTGATATTAGTTGATAGTTGTTTTGATTTCCATATGCATTCTTCAACTGTAAGAATGCGGCCCTTGCTTTGCCAATCTTTGCCTTTACGTCTGCATCAGATCCTCCTTGTTCGTCGATGATGCTGCCCAGGCACGTGAAAGTTTTCACCTCTTCCAGAATTTCTCCATCAAGTGTGATTGGGTTGGTGTTCTCCGTGTTGTATTTGAGGACCTTGCTTTTTCCCTTGTGTATGTTGAGGCCTACTGATACGGGGGTTTCTGCTACACCAACTGTCTTCACTTGCATTTGTTACTGTTTATGAAATAAAAGAGCTAGGTCATCTGCAAAGTCCAAGCTGTCTGTTGTATTCCGTGTTTCCGCTCAGATGTCGAGGTCTTCAAAGTCCACTCAACTACCAGAAGAAAGAGAAAGGGGGAGAGTAAGCAGGCTTGTCTGACTCCAGTCCTCACCTGGAATACGTCTGTCAGCTGTCTTCCATGCACGACTTTGCCGTATAGTCCGTCGCATGAATTCCGGATGATGTTGACAATTTTGTCAGGTACACCATAGTGTCGAAGAAGGTCCTCTTATCCACATTGTCAAATGCTTCCTCATAATCAAGGAAGTTGATGTATAGTGACGAGTTTCATTCAGTTTATTGTTAAATGATGATCCATGCTGTCGCGATTTGATCTGTGCACGACGGATCCTTACGGGATCCATCCTGTTGATCTCGAAGTCGGTCGACTACTGAGTCTTTCATCCGATCCAGCAATACTGAAAACTTTTCCCGGTACCGATAATAGCGTGATGCCTTTACAGTTTTCACAATCGCTCAGAACTCCTTTCTTTGGTATCCTGATGAGATATTCTTCTTTCCAGTCTGTCGGTGGCACTTGTCCCTCCCGATAAATCTTCCTGAATAGGATGCAGAGTATGTTTGCAGCTGCTTCTATGTCTGACTTCAGTGCTTCAGCTGGTATATTGTAGGTCCTACTGCTTTCCGATTCTTGATTTGTCTGATGGCCATGCTGATTTCTTCGGTCGTTGGTGGAGTGACATCTAAAGGAGAGTTTGTAGGTGCTGTTTCGATGTCCGGTGAATTTAATGGAGCTGGTGTATTCAGAAGTTCTTCAGAATGTCCTAACCATCTATTGCTTTGGACAGCATCAGAGCAAATCCTTGTTTGTGCGAAGCATTTCCTTCCTTTTGATCAGATTAGAACATCCTTTCTTTCGAATCTAACCTTTTCTGTTTAGCTTGGGTCCAATGTGTCTCACTGACTCTGAGAACGTTCAAGTTGTATCTCCTCAGTCAAGTAACTGTTTGGTTGGTCATCTGTTCTCCCACATTGTCTGGATGTTCCATGTACCTATAAAAATTGTTATTGTGGTTGTTAGAAGGGGCATCAACCTCGTGACTTCCGAAGAATCTCGGCTTTCATCCTGAGGCGTCATAATTCTTCCTCCAACTGGGAAGTCAGAGTTTAAATGGTTTGTTATTTAGCAAGATTTGTTTCTAAGGTATTGGGTTGCCGACTCTATCCTCGACTTAATGCTACATGGTAACTATACTACATAAAATAGTCACATACATTTTAATCCAAAGTATTCTTTCGTAATTACCCAGCATTATCAGTATCAATATCCTAAATTCTTTTGGTCGAATACCAAAGAACAACAGTAATAAGACCATGGATTCTGTCCAATTGGAACGAATCGCTGATAAAAAAAAGAGACTATATCAAACATCAATTGAATATTTACCTCAACAACTATCTAAGAAAATGCAGAAGTAACGAATTATATCAAGATAAAAGTAAGTTTGCAGTCTGAAGAAAATGGTTAACAACAGTGTTTAACGCTGATTGAGCCAAAAACCTGGGTTCTATTGTAGTGATTCTTTCATGTTAGTCGTATCAAGTTTGTTGTAACGTACAAAATACATGTCGTTTTATAGTTTTATTTACGTAGTCGTAAATGCACCTTGTTTCTGTAGAAAAATACCAATTCGACCAGAAGATTCATTTGCCCATACTAGTAGCAATAAAAGCCGGTCACTCTGTACAGGTTGCCATTCGCATTCTAGATCGGACCATTCTTTAACGGAGTCAGACCACTCTGAAACCTGTGGTGGGGGAATAGAAAACCAAGAAGAGGGCGAAGTCGCTGATGATGTAGACGATGACGATGACACTGAGGTGTTCAATTCTTCACCTTATGCAGCTCGTACACGCAAAAGATATTGGTCTCGTCCATCACCTACCAGTTGTAAAACTCCAAAGCTTTCTTCAGATTTACATGGTAATGAGTCCACAAACGTTTCGATCTCTGAAAATTCAAAAAATATTTCACCATATCCAAATATTGAACAACGCAGGTGGAGTAGATGTTCACAACACTATGAAAAAGATGGTTCCAGGAACTCTAGTTCTGGTTTTATGGATTTGACTTTACGAGCGTCTCCCGGATACGGTAAGTACTTTTGTTCTGAGGTATCTTTAGACCTTGGGTATTTATGTTGTAGGTGAACGTATACTATATAATGAAACCAATGTTTTGTCATTAAACACTACAGTTAACATAGGTTCCTACTTCAGTTTGAGTTCATACCCAAGTACCTGGTGAATGCGTTAATTTAATGTGATTTAAAAAACAGGTTCCTCATTTGTAGTGTGAATGTTTACTGATAAGTGCATACAGTCTGAATGCGTATTAGATGTGATTCTTTTGAAGAGTTATTACTACGAAAGTATTTTATATCACTAAGTTGTATAAAATAAAGCGTCCTTTAAGAAGAGAGTACTTAGTATTTAATTTGTTTACGTTTGAGGTGTGCCAATCGTACAGTAACATAACATTTATGAGGCCTTCAAACTTCGAAGTTCCCTCAAATGCCTTGCTAAACCCAGTTGTGGATAAATTCAACTTCCTCTTTCGAAATATTATCAGATAGGGGAGCGTTTGTCGTCTGTTTTACGAAGACCCTACTCATCAAATGGCCAAAATGTTCCTACGAAAACTATAGGGTGAAGATGGATAGCCAATGCTTAGACTGCGTTGCTCAGTACAAGAGGGTTGGAAAATGATTTGGCTATCGATTGCTATGAGAATACATCTCTATATGTTGCTTCACTGTTCTGTGGGTCAGGCGTTAAAGTCAAAAGCAATCGAGCAGAATCACAACCTTTATGACTATCATGAATAATTAATGGGTATTATATGCTCTACAAAAATATGCTCTCAACCAACAAGTGTGTCTGTGTCGTCTTATTTCCATGTAGTGTACTCTTTCATCGTCCTAATCTTACTCAGCAGGTCGCTTTGCAAAATTTTATGAACTGTTTTAACATATCTATGCCAAAAAGCCCCCAAATGCCCTGGTACGGCCGAGAGTGGGGAGAGTCACCTCTCCCTCTCGAAATACTCTCATATGGCCAGCGAATATATAGCCTCTGCCAGGGAAGTCCTACTCACTGCCTTCTCGTGGCGGGGGTGTTGTGTACGAAAGTGAGAGGACGAAAAGCGAATGTCCGGCGCTTTAAACGGGTTGGTGGACATGGAGGGTCCACCTAGGGGAGTTGGAAAACCCTGATTCCAAACCAATGGTGCACATGGGCTCCAGTATCCTGAAGGAACAAATGGCGTACGAATCAACCGTTGATCACCGGCTACCATGGGACTGCATCTCCTCACGATGCTCCACTTCCTTGTGGATCAGACATTCAGGTCAAAGGCTCCGGGTATGGCCCCCTAAGAAAACCACCTGCTTCAGTCTGGGCACCTGAGCAGTATCACAGCCCTCACACAAATCGAATGAGATTTGTAAGGCGCATATTTATCTGGTGCTTCCTTGTACCAATATTTATGTGTTTAAATAAATAATAATAATAAAATAATGCCAAAAAGTAGTCGGCTTTCAAAACGTGTTACCCAATAAAACGTAACTAGTATGATTTCATTAATCCTTTTTAAACTTCTTTTTTGCAACATCCTCACATAGATGCAGATCAGACAAATAAAAATTCTCTCTGTTAGTACTGTTTACTTCTCGAAGACCCGTATTTGAGATTCCAGCGAAACCTGTTTTCCATGTGTTGATTTGAAAACTGGTATGTGCTAATCTGATGACTTTGTGTCTGTGAAAGTGTTGGATTGTGCGCTAGAGTCGGAACAGAACTAGTTGGCTGGTATCCTAGCCCCCAAATGCCCTGATACGGCCGAGGGTGGAGAGAGTCAGCTCTCCCTCTCAAAATGCTCTCACGTGGCCACGTGCATACAACCACTGCCAGGGAATTCCTACTCACTGCTTTCTCGTGGTATTATTGTTGTTTACGAAATCGAGAGGACGAAGAGCGAATGTCCGGCGCTTTAACCGGGTTGGTGGACACGGAAAGTCTACCTAGGGAAGTTGGAAAACCCTGATTCCAAACCAATGGTGCACATGGGCTCCAGTATCCTGAGGGAACAAATGGCGTATGAATCAATCGTTGGTCACCGGCTACCGTGGGACTGTATCTACTTACGATACTCCACTGCCTCGTGGATCAGACTTTTAGGTCGAAGGCTCGGTGTGTGTTCCCCTAAGAAAACCACCTGTTTCAGTTTAGACACCTAGGCAATATCCCAGGCCTCACATAATTAAATGAAATGACAACTTTTTGTGTGGTGCATATATATCTGGTGCCCCCTTGTACCAATATTTGTGTTTGAATATAAAAAATAAGAAAAGCTGGTATCCCATCTATAGTAGTTCATGTGAAGTCACATGTTCAAACAAAGCCTTTTGTAGATTATTGGGTTAGATCGTAACACAATAATCTACTGACAATGCCAATGACTTCAACTCTGCCTCTACTTTTAAGGTACTGGTCTAACCTTAAGTGTTACAGTGTGTGAATTGATTTATCATATCAAGAAAACGCTGCTTAGGAAGCTCTGATGAAGATATGTTATGATGAAAGTCCAGATTTGTTCTTCGGGGAAAAACTTTTCAACGTTGAGTATATGAATATTATATGTTTATTTATTTATTTAATCACATATATATTGGTACAAAGGGCACCGGATACATATGCGCCACACAAAATAATGAGAATAGGAGAAGAAAGGGGGAAGATGCGTATATATAGAAGGAAAAAAAAGAAGAGTAATGATGGGAGGAACTGAAATGTACAACCAGAAGACTCTTTCAATTAAGAAAGTTATATCCACTCTTTATGAAGAAGGTTACAGCAGGTACGCCACTGGCTTTTATTCTGAGCCATATCTGATAACGTCTCTAGCTACTGTGTTACACCATCTCTCAGACTCCAGCCAGGGAGTCGTGAAGGTCCAACAGAAGCTAGCCCTTTTCAGCTTTCTTTCAAACCACGACACCATGTCATACACTGACCACTTCCCCCCTTTATCCAACCAGTCCCAGAGTCGGCAAATAATGCACGACGTGGAATTCTCTGGGACGACATTCGTAAAACATGTCCAAGTCACCGAAGTCGGTGTTTCAAGGTGGTGAAACCAATTATGTTGTCGTCTTTGCGCCCGAACACACGATGCCGAACCTCTGCATTACTAACATGGCGTTGCCACTGGATGTCAGCAATCCTTCGGAGACAACGATGATCGAACACAGAGAGACGTCTAACATCCTCAACTCGGAGAGGCCAGGTTTCAAAAGCATAGAGCAAAACTGCTCTCACCGACGCGTTGTAAATCCGACCTTTTACAGCCAGACTAACATCACGAAGGCGCCAGAGATGGCCCAGATTGGCATAAGCCGCTCTGGCTTTCCTTATACGTGCATCAATCTCATCACTCACGCCACCACCAGCACTTATATAGCTACCTAGATACACGAACTTCTCAACTACTTCAATCTGCTCACCATCTAGGGTGAGTGCAGGATTAGAATCCTGCCAGTCTTGTAGGAGTACTTAGCACTTGGAGAGTGCAAAGCACATGCCGTACCTGCGAACACTAATTGCCAACTGATTAAGCGCGGATTGCATGCCTTGGGCATTATCGCACAGTATGACAATATCATCCGCATACTCAAGGTCGAGAAGTCTTTCTTCAGGCGGCAGATCCACACCGCCATTATTTACATCTATGAGAGCTGTTTCCAGGATGTCGTCGATGGCAAAGTTGAAGAGGAATGGTGAGATTCGGCAACCCTGCCTAACCCCACTGCTCGAATGGAACAAGGGAGAAAGGTGGTTGTATGCCCTCACTCTGCTTGAGGTGTTCGTATACAGGGCCTTTAAGATGTTAATGAACTTCTCAGGCACACCCTTCTTCAATAGACAATCCCAGAGAACAGTCCTGTCCAACGAATCGAAGGCAGCCCTGATATCAAGAAAAACTACGATTGTTGACCTGTGATAAATTTAAACGGTGTTCTAACATTTGGCGGAGGGTGAAGATGTGATCAATGCATCCTCGACCAGAACGAAAACCAGCCTGCTCCTCGCGAGTCAATCGTTCTCTGGTTTTAAACAACCTACGAAGAATGATAGAAGCCAATAGTTTGGACGCAATCGGAAGTAGACTTATCCCCCGATAGTTATTACAGGAACAACGTGAACCCTTTTTAAAGATAGGGATGATTATCTGCTCATTCCATGATGTTGGAACACTTTCTTGCTCCCAAACCTTTCCAAACAATACAGTCAATTCCTTAGTCAGAAAGTCACCACCATCTTTAAAAATAGTCGGAGGTAAGTCATCTGGGCCCGGTGATTTGTAACGTTTCAAGAGTTGGAGTTCCTTGCGGACTTCAGCCTCATTTGGTGGATCAGTCGTCACCGGCCATGGGGGGCAGGACAAACTGGTTGATGTTGCCGGAGCAGCAGGCCAGTTGAACTGCCATTCAAAGAATTCCGCTCATCGTCCAAGACGTCGAGAGATGTTAGTGATTGGCATCCCATCATCCTCGCAGATTGTTTCATTCACACCAGACTTCTTGCTGCCAGTGGCTCGGATGAGTTGGAAGAGCTTCCGGCAGTTACCAGATGCAGCTGCTGCTTCCATCTCATTAGCACGCTCCGACCACCAGGCTTCTCGGTCCTTACGCAAGCTTTGCCCAATTTCATTACGTAACAGCCTTCGTTTGTGGTCAAACTCACGGTCACCCGGAGTAGACCGACGGGCTTCGATCAGTTGTAAGGAGCCAGAAGAAACCCAGTGATTGTAAGCGGGACGTTTCGCGAAGCCACAAGCGACTTTACTCACCATTTTCATGGCGTCGTGAAGATACAGCCAATGCTCATCTATACCTTTCGGTGGGATGTTAGCTAGCCATGAGGCTAGCTCGGTTCGATACTTACTTGCAACAGAAATTGCAACCAATTCACTAACATCAATCCGTTGATGGTGGTCAAATCTTCGGCCACTGAAAAGTAAGGTGAGATTGGCGCAGACCAGGGCATGATCAGACTCTAGATAGGTACTTCAAAAGGAGCGGCAGTCTTGTACACAACCACGCCAGCGGTAGCTGATCGCGATGTGATCAATCTGAGTCCAGGCTTGGGATGCAGAGGGAGGACGCCAGGAGGCACACCGGCGATGACTGTGCCGGAAGTTAGTGCTGGCCAGAAACAGGTTGTGGTCTGTGCACAGTTGCAGCAAACGGTCCCCGTTATCTGTTCTGCGACCAACAAGTCCCCATCGGCCACCTAAACGACTCTCTTCTGTGCCTAGACGCCCGACCTGAGCATTCAAGTCTCCGGCTAGTACTACAATATCTGCCGAACGCGCTTTCTGGAGAAGAACTGTTAACTGATGGTAAAACCCATCCTTGATTGCATCCGGGCTGCAATCTGTCGGGGCATAGACGGAGATGACGAAAAGACACCGTTTCTCACGCCGATTTCTTCTCACTTTGATGGAACTTTCTAATCTAACAACACATAACCGACTGTTAATGGGGAACCAATCGATTAGTGCTGCCTCAGCCCTAGCGCTTAGTGCGACACCAACGCCAGCAAGACCAGACGAGGATGCCACAGGGTCCCCGGATAAGCGCATGTGAAACAAGCTTTTCGAGGCGACAAATGGAGAGCGGATTTGTAGTACTTCACTAGAGTCTTGAACACGGGTCTCGGGTAGACTGCAAACGTCAACATTAAGACCTTCCAAAGACATAGCCAGCCCTATCTGTTGTCTGATTTGCATTAGTGTGCGAACGTTGAAGGAAGACAGCTTGAACGGCGTACGTTGTTTCAGAAAGACTGCTTCAGTATTCATAATCAGTGAAAGCATTCACTTTCGACCAAACAGCGACTAGAGATCGTTTTGATGGAACAGAGTTTCTACCAAGAGCGAGCTGCTGCATAAGTTGAAAAGTAAGGTTACACAAATTGGGGATAAAAGGTGGTGAATTAGCGATATGGTAAATAATAATAATAATAATAATAGTAATGCAAATTGTTTTGTTTCTAGTATGAGCGAGAATAGAATTGTCAGTTGAATGTTCCATTTCATTTATTTGAGTGAGGGCTGTGATACTGCCCGAGTGCCCAAACCGAAGCAGGTGGTTTTCTTAGGGGACCACACTCCGAGCCTTTGACCTGGAGGTCTAACCCACAAGGCAGTGGAGCATCGTGAGTCTCATGGTAGCCGGTGACCAACAATTGGTTCATATTCCACTTGTTCCTTCAGAATACTGGAACCCATGTGCACCATTGGTTTGTGATCAGGGTTTTCCAACTCCCCTAGGTGGACCCTCCATGTCCACCAACCCGTTTAAAGCGCCGGACATTCGCTTTTCGTCCTCCCACTTTCGTAATGTTTGTGCTATACTGTATGTTAATTATGACTGACATGAATATCCTAAACAATGGAAATGAGACAAGGGTCTTGCCACAGGAAGCACTACATTTTACTTATATGGTTTTCCTAACCGCATTATATTTTGAATAACACACTTCTTGGTCCCTGATTGTATCGATTCCAAATAAACAGATACTAAATGACAATTTAATCAATTACAGTAACTCATACATGTTATCAGTAATTTTTCCCTTCATACGTTTGAACTTAGCTAAATTTCCATAATACGTTCCCGCTGTAGTTACTCTAAAGGTATGATGTTAAACCTTATATGATATTTAGTTTGTTTAACGAACTTAAATGTCATTACTGTGTGTCTGTTGGTCCATCATTCTCTGTTATCTCAATAGCTTAGTTATATGACCAGTCTTCATATTAATATGAATGGTTTGTAATACTTCCCCACCTTGTAGCTTACGTTTTCATTCATACAACATACTGAGATACGTGTGTTACGAGGATACATACAAAACAGTTTGATCGTAGGGTTTCCAACCTTTTAAAAATAGCATCACACATATATTCACAAGGTTTCGAAGTGATACGATCTCACTAAAATGTGAGTCTGTGTTTAATCATTCTCACAGTGTGGAATATTCTATTTTCTGTAGTATGTAATATACTTTCTGCAGAATATTATTTAATTTTACGACATAGATGACTATGTGACAGCTTATATTGTTCTTATTTCAACTTCTAGGACAATTTAAAACTTACTCTTGTTGGAGCAAATGTGGCAAGTTGGCTAGAAATATTTTATTGTAAGGATTGTTCCTGTTCGTTCAGTATCCGATGTCATTTCGATGTAACCATGTTTAGGAAACTTCAGTGGTGGCACTTCGTACTATCATAGCTACTTCATAGTACCCGTCCATCGTATGATCAATCGGACAGCAATCAAATGATCCTTACTGTTGCACAAAAGCTGAGTGGTTTTTCCAGACTTATCCGTTCAAGTAGACTATAAATATAGCAAAATACCATTTTGTGTATAGAGAGACGGACACAGTTTGACAGTTATTTCTATTGTGTGTTTTGTAATGCTAGGAGACAATGGGGGCTTGTACATAATGTGATTTGAATGTAGGGTTTTTACACTTAAGTTTCATCAAGATATGGTTAATTCGATCATACTATACTTTATTGATTTATCCTGGGATTGGCGAAACTCAAAACGAAGTTTGGTTTGTCGGATTAAATTTTATTACTAGCAAAAATCAGTAACTGTATAGTTATTTTCTCATCCACAATTTTTAAAATGGTCACATATGACCTTTGTATGTAATGGTTAATTTGCTTTGTGGAAATGTTATAGTTTCAAACCTATCAGTGTTTTTGTTGTTTTTACTTTAAGACCAGCACTCGTCCAATCTAAATACTTCAAGATTTTCCCATTCACCAGAAATTCATCGGAATCATGGGTCACAATATCCCTCATCCATTTCCAGATCACCTTCATTGAGAAATTCTCGTAATGAACACTATCGTCATCATCCTAATCGGTCATCTAACTCTGCTTCTAAATATCATCCTTGTCAGCGTCATTACAAATCCCCAGAAAAGAGTGCCCGAGATTTCACCCCTAGAAAGCACAACAAATCATCTGTTTCGTCAAATCAGCCAAAAAGACGTACTCACCATTCTCCAGTACCACCAACTAATTCTAACTCATCTTTCCGTCGATTTGAACGTGAACGAATAAATCTTCACAACAGACGGTTTCGTGCTTTATCTCCGGTGCTAAATCGAAATACTTATAGAAGAATCGGCATTAATTCATTAAAGGTATCTGGCCCACGTTTCAACCGTACTCATCATCAAAGAAGATTTTAATCATATATCCAGATTACTGTACAGCTTCAAATTGCACATCTTTTTTAGAAAAGAAATTGAAGGACAGATATATTAGCTATTTTTCCTTTGGAAGTTATTGTGTCTGTATTTCCTTATTTTTGTTAGCTTCTAATTTTTGGTTGCCTACCATATCCTCAGTAAAAATAAAAGTATATACTAAGCGATGCTGATACTTTTTTATCCACATGTTCCTTCATCGGTGTTTATTTTCTATGTATATTTGATCAGTTTTTAATTCTACCGAGGTTACTGTTGCACTCAAAAATCTTGACTTTATGTTGTGCTAAATAGTAATATGGAGACGATTCTGAGGAATAAGAAGTATCTGACTATTAGGTTTAATTATTGACCACGAAATTAGGGGTAAAAATATTTGACATTCAGGTGTGATATTGTAGAACTAAGTTGACCAGTTGGACTTGCTAGGTTGATCAGTCATTTGCGAGTCGAACACATACGAAGAATGAATTAAAAACTTTAATGACTAACAGTTATAAATCCAGCTGTTTAATGCAAAGATACCTTTAGTTTTTAAACATTCTATGTAAACTAAGTAACATTTGACAGTCTTTTTGTGATCTCGTGACATTCAATACATGTATGCTAACATCTTCGTAATCTCAAGTTGACATATTTAGCATTATTACAAAAATAGCATTAATGAATATAATTCTTGGACCTACAAGAAGTTCCTAGACTTGGCATATAACAATGAGTGGAACGTCTACATCGAATTTCGACAGCATCAGCTAGACAGAAAAGATTGGGAGGAATAAAATTTGTGTTATATTTCTAGGTACACACTTGGTACTTCCTGGTTATTTGTTTCATTTAAACTTGCTTGATATAGAATGCTAGGGGCCCGTCAACTAAGAAGTTTACAATTGAACTCTAAAATGTACCTGAGTATGAAGAAAATAATCGTACAAATATCAACCCGCATTTGCTAAATATGCTTTTTGGAATTGTTTTCTGCTCCAATCTATGTGAGCGTCTCATGTATAATGATATACTAGCAATTAAACCATGCAACTTCCAACCGTTCGCTTGCGAATTTGAACCACGCTAAACCTAGTTATGTTTGAGTAGTGACATAACACTATTAACCTCCAGAGTGCGGTCGAAAGATGGATATATAAATCTGTAGCTGGTAAAAAAAGGTATATTTGGTTTTTAGTTGGTTTCCATTTCAATGCCCCGAACATCGTTACGTTAGTAGGTTGTGGTTCTTACGTCCCACACAAAGTCGTTAAATCGTAATCCAAAAAGGATGAAATAGAAGTACGGGATCAATCTACTAGACACTAACAAATGATATCCGTGTATGCATATAAATCTATTTCTCTACTACTATACCATTTGACTTCCCCTAGCTGTGATGACGAAGTGGCGAATTTCCTCCATTCTGAGTCTTGACATTAAACTTGAAATCTGTCTGTTTATCCTGATAGTCTGTATGTAAAGATTTCGCTATTATTCATATTCCATCTCTAACTAACCTACATGAGTAGCATTTGAGTGCACTGAAAGTGCGATTGATGGCATTAAAAGTTGAAGTGCATTGAGAAAATATGTATTATATTACTACCATCATCAATAATATTATTCGGTTTCCTGGATGTGAGTGCTGTTATGTACTCTGATGACAAATGACTCATCAGAGTACATAACAGCACTCACATCCAGGAAACCGAATAATATTATTGATGATGGTAGTAATATAATACATATTTTCTCAATGCACTTCAACTTTTAATGCCATCAATCGCACTTTCAGTGCACTCAAATGCTACTCATGTAGGTTAGTTAGAGATGGAATATGAATAACAATGAATTCTTTGGCTATAAACTATCAGAAAGAAAACAATATTTTCTTAACTTCATTATTCGTATGTTGTTGGTAACCTTTCAGATCCACTTTTCAAAACAAGATGTTTATACTTATTTCGGTGCATAAACTTTTCCAAATATGTTTTGCTGTTAACATGTACAGTTTGCCTTTTGATTTTTATTTTGCCCAAAGGATTGTTAACTGTTTGGAATAATGTGTAACTATGAAATGGGTAAAGTTTTACTGACACTTTCTTATGATGTCTTCGTTAATATACTTTGTCACTATATGTACATCAGGGTGAAATCTGATGTCTTGAAACCAACAATCGTATCTATAAAAACCAATATATTGAATGAACTATTAGTTTAACTAAAGCAATTAGTCCCTTTGACAAATTTCGATAGTGTAATAAGAAGATGAAGATTATCAGAACTATGTGATATATTAGCGCACTTCGAACAATCTGATCACACATATACTTGTTAAGAACATTTATATATAAAAGATAAAAGGTCAACTAGACTGGAAATGGGGGGTTAAGAGTAGACAAGGATAATAATGATAAAATAATGTGAAAACAATTTGACACCTAATCACTCTGGATAATAAGCATTTATTACCAGGGTAGTTTAAGGAGAGAACAAACTGTTTTTGAATACACAAAGAGGGTTTGAATTTTCGTATGGCTAAGGCTTCAATAAACCTCAGTATACGCCCTTTTAAACAACACAACAAAAGCCGAGTGTAGATCAATCTTATGACCTGTTTCGATTATATGTTTAGCAATAGAGGATGATGGATGTTTATCCTCTACTCTCATCGGGTCATTTGATTCTATTTGTTTCTGCAACCATTTTGGTACATGTTCACCCACCCTAATTTTCAGATCACGATTGCTCCTCCCTATGTATGTGTGACCACACACACATTTAAATTGGTAAATGCAGTGGGATGTGACAATCGTTTTCATGTCGTCTATGTTTTGAATGAAGCGTGGACCTTGTTCTTTCCTCGATTATGACTTTCGCAGCACAATACGTTTTGTTGATAACAGATTTAAGCCTTCGTTTTAATAAAAGAATATTTGAATCACCTTTAAATGGTAAGGCTTTTTCCCTACCAAGGCTACAGTAGGTCTCGCTGTGCCATGAACTTTCCATCTATTGATAAATTTAGGTGGATAGCCATTTCCGATTAATGTCTTGGTTAACAACTTAACATTGTCATCAATAGCGCCGTTTGTGCAAATACGACGAAGCCTGTTAAAAAGGCCCTTTACCAAACCACGTTTGTATTGCACAGGGCAATAACTATAGTAACTAAGATATTGACCCGTCCACATCGGTTTTCGAAAAATGGATCGTTTTATTGAGCCATCTTCTCGTCTGTTTAGAAGTACATCTAGGAAGGGGAGTTGGTCGTTCTTCTCCTCGAAATGTATTGCGCTAATATATCACATACTTCTGATAATCTTCGTCTTCTCATTACATTATCGAAAATTAACTAAAGCAGTTGGCTACGGTTTCGATCCAAACAAATTATTTTGGTTGATTGAAAAGACTGAGTTCTCTTTGTGATAGACATTAATCGGTTTATCTGATATAATTCGAAGATGGTGGAGTCACTTATAATCTATGGTCTGGTATATCAACAGAACAGTTAGTTTACATTGAAATGTAGGACAAAATTGAACTTTCCAACTGTCTGTTTGAAATAGACATCAACTTCACTGACTGAATATTTTCCGTCATTCCAGTAGGCAGGAATTCTAAGGCAAATACATCCGCGATTTTAAATAGTGTATTATCGGATACTTGTGAATGTTTCTTCATATCACTCCAGTGGGGCAATTATTGTATGAAATAAGTTATTTCTTCATATGCATCGATAGTATCATTCTGTAAAATAGTTTTAAAGATCAAGTCTAATCTCCTCTTAGACTTCAAACATTTATATGATATCACTCCACTTGTATATATTACTGAGCCTAAATGGTTTCACTTGATTGGGATGTTCATCAAGCATTTTTGACCGTACAACAACTACTTTATGGTCCTTCAGAGTGTATCTCAAAAATCAGCTGTTCTAACTTCGGGGAGTGAAGTGATCTGAAAGTGCTCTTCCCTTCAAGCTCACTTAATTTTTGCCATTGGGTATCATTTGTAGCTGTAAGAACAAACTAATCTGTCTGTTTAGATCCTCATGTTTCCGGAGTAGGTTTTCCTGACTCCATTTGTTGTCTGGACGTATGGTAAGACGCATAAGTTGAATGTCATGCTACAGTGAATGTATATACACAAATTTATAAACCCCGATCTTTCTTGTCACTCAAAATTCTACTTGTTTCTTTTGAATACCCATACGAACCAATTTGGAATTGGTAGTAGATGATGTACGTAATCGCAGAATCTCTGTAGATTTTGGAAAAACATTTTTGTCTTGAACTTTTAATCAACAGCTAGATGATGTAGCTTTTCCTTAACTTATCAGCATACATGGATGAAGTGCTTCTACTTGTCTGGAAAACCAACTAATGTTTACATGTAGATACAACAGCACATCCAAAATACAACATTATTATACTGCTTAACTACCTAGGAGAATGCTGTACATGAGTTGTTTATTGATAGTGTCAAGCTGCAGATGGGAGTGAAACTATAATCTGAAAGGCAAATATCCCCATCTTGTCTTAAATGTCTTCAAATCTTCCAAATGTCCTCAGTAATATCAGTGTTTTGTAACTAAGTAGTCATATCCGTTTAACTATCTATACACCCAACTCCAATATCAAACCAAAAGTTTAACAGTCAACTGGGCTTGTCTCTACGTCGACCAAATGTTTCCAATATCGCAAATCTGTGACTCAGATTTGTACGCGTTCGTCCTTCAACTGGTTATCCGGTTCCAATAGTCGGATTGCCTAAAATTACTTCGAGCTAAGGAACTATGTCTTTTCAACCCTCACACAGTGTTTCAAATATATTTCTACAATACTTTATACCTGACTACATTCAACGGAGATAATCCAGTGTTTAGGTAGATGTTTGTTGGGCATACACATTACATCTCGGCATTAGCTGCTACCTTGGCGTGGTGGTCGAACTTGCCTATCGTGATGACCCAACCGAGCCATATTGGCTGAAACATATGTTCCTGTAGGTTCTACCATGCCAGGCAGGTCAATTGGAGAACGGTAAGACTAAAAGCAGCAACTCAACTTCAGAGGGCGAAGTCGTACTGCTGACTGTAGAGGGGTGTGACAGCAGTAAGGATAACCAGCATAACGGCGATGCTGCCTTTTCACAAGGAAGGAAGGGGTTAGAAAAGGTCGACACTGAAAATGTCATGCCTCACCTTACCTCACGAAATTCCGTCTCTGGCGGTAAGGACCTTTGAAGAACGGAGCTAACACTTCAAAACCCTCCCACAAAAAGGCCGTGCGTGAAAGGCTTCAAGCAGTTGTCCCTTGGGCTCTGTGGTTAGGCACCCAGGTAGTTAATACCAACTTTCTTTTCATGTCCCTCAAGAAATACCCTTCCACGGTGTGGACAGCCGAGAAGTAATATTAGCCCTCATACCCGTAACAGCACATGAAACCAAGTTGGTCACATCCAAACCCTTTCTACACCTCCTAATAACTCTCTTATCTCCACGACTAACCCTTCTCACGTCCTTTTACCGCCTCGCACCGCTAGGGCAAACGATTCAAGTACACGGAACGTTATTCCTGGTCTCCTGAAACCACGCCTTAAAATACATGTAGGAACTTTTAACGTCTGAACACTGTGCCAAGTAGAACAACAGGCTTCCTTAGCTATGACTTTAGAATCTCGCACCACTGATGTGTGCTGCGTCTCCGAAACGTCCATACAAGATGCGAATAGCGCCATTCATTTGACCTCACCATGTCAAAATAAAGAACCAACTTGATTCACGCTTAGTGTATCTGGAAGTACTGATGCTGGTTCTCGTGGCTTCGCTGACGTAGGTATAGCACTAAGTCCTAGGGCAGAACTAGCTCTTTTAGACTGGATCCCAGTAGACAGTCATCTATGCGCTGTCCGACTAAACGGATCAGTAAGAACTCGGAAAGATAGGGAAACTCGTCGTTGTCTCTTCGTCGCCTCTGCCTACTCTCCCACTGACTGCAGCTCAGACGAGTTTTACAGAAAGCATTCCGACCTTCTCCGAAAAGCTAGGCGCTCTGATGTAGTACTAGTAGTAGTGGCTGGTGACTTTAATGCTCAAGTGGGTAAACTAAGTGAAAGACACCTGAGTGGATCTTATGTTGTCGTGGCTAAAAGAACAGATAATGGCGACCGTCTGTTGCAGCTGTGCTCAGATAACCGCCTATTTCTTGCAAATACTAACTTTAAGCATAAGGAAAAACGTCTTTTGACATGGCGACCCCCGAATTCGTTCTAACATTGGACCCAAAAAGATCACATCACTATCAGTCATCGATGGAGGGGCTCGACAGAAGACTGTCGATCAGTCTGGAGCACGTGTTTAGATTCAGATCATGCTCTAGTGCGAGCACGTATCTGTCTGTGTCTTACTGGGAGTACGAAAAACACTGCAAGGAAACCTCTTCGGGTTCAATTTAATGACAGACCAGCTAAGAATATATTCCAGGAACAACTGGAAAAACAGTTCAGCAGTCATGTAAGTTGTGCCCACCCCAAGGTAGCGTGGAATGACATCCGAAAAGCTGTGGAAACAGCAGCGATATCTGCTAGTACGGTAAACTATAAGGTTAGGGAGAAACGCTGGATCTCAGCAGCACCTACCTCACTGATATATGCTTGAAAACCCATCCCATCTGGCTCTGAACATAACAAAGAGCAGAGTCAGCTTTGGCGAAGGCTAATAAGAAGCCTACGCAATGATCGTGAACAGTGGTGGGTAGCGAAAGCAAGAGAGATGAAAAAGGCAGCGGCAATAGGTAACATCAGACAACTGTTCAGAGTTGTTAAGGAAACCGGTATTAGGAACCCAACTGTCAGCGAAACTATCTTGGAAAAAAATGGACAGATCATTCATTCTCAATCCAGGAGATTGGATCGATGGGCAGAACACTTTAGGGATCAGTTCAACTGGCCTTCAGTTCCTCTCGATCCCCAGTCGTCCTAAATGGCAAGTTAATGTAAGTCCACCAACTCTTTACAAGGTTGAAAAAGCTAAAAGAAATCTGGAGTGAGGGAGAGCAGCAGGCCCTGACAGGTTTGGTCCTGAGAATTTTAAGGATGGCGGTCCAGTACTAGCAGAGAGATTGACTGAGGTCTTAGGTAGAATCTGGAAACTAGACGTAATTCCATCTGTCTCATTTCAATCACTGATTGTGCCAGTCTATAAGAAAGGACAAAATCCCTCTTGTGACAATCACAGAGGGATCAGTTTGACTAATATAGTGTCTAAAATATTAGCTTCAATAATACTTGGACGCCTAACCAAAGCTCGTGAAGAGCAGGCTAGAGAAAACCAAGCTGGTTTCCGACCTGGACGTGGCTATATAGACCAGATATTCACTCTACGTCAGGTTCTAGAACATAGACATACATTCAGACGCCCCACAATGATAGTATTTCTCGACCTTTAGGCGGCATTCGACCCTGTTAAACGCGAGGTTCTGTGGCAGTGTTCGTCACTGAAAGGAGTACCAAAGAAGTACATTAACCTCATAAAGGCTACCCACTCGAACACAACTGGTCGAGTGAGAGCTTATGGAGGACTATCATCAGAATTGATTACCTCAAGTGGTGTTCGTCAGAGCTGTTCACTCTCTCCATTCTTGTTAAATGTATCGAAAATGTGCTTTCAGAAATAACACTTTCTTCATCCAAATTTGGAGGAGTTGAACTTCTACAAGGAGGCTTACTTGTTGACTCAGAATACGCCGATGACATAGTTTTATTTGGTGAAGACGCTGACAAAATGCAGTCTTCTGACCACAGTAAGCAACAATGCAGTCATGTTCGGTATGCGATTCTCCCTCGAGATACAAACTGTTACTTTAGGATTGGGTTGTATCGACACCTGAACTAATGATAGGGAGTGAAGCAGTTGAGCGTGTCGACCGCTTCGCTTATTTTGGGAGTCCTATCAACCCTTGTGGTCTGGTGTGTGACGAAATATCAGCACGGATACAGAAGTTAATTTATTTAAACACATACGTATTGATACAAAAGGGCACCAGATATATATGTGCCACATAAAACAATGAGAATGGAAACAGAAAGAGGTAAGATGCATATATGTAAAAGAAAGAAAAGAATGAAAAAAAAGAAATGATGAGGGGAACTGAAATGTACAACCAGAAGACTTTCAGTTAAGAAAGTTATATCCATTCTTTATGAAGAAAGTAAAAGACGGTTACAGCAGGCACGCTACTGGCTTTTATTCTGAGCCATATCTGATAACGTCTCTAGCCACTGTATTGCACCATCTCTTGGACCCCAGTCTGGCAGTCGTTAAGGTCCAACAGAAGCCAGCCCAGAAGGCTCGTCTAGCTTTCGCCAACTTGCATCATTTGTGGCGTAGGCGAGATATCCGTCTAGCAACAAAAGGACGGGTTTACTGCTCAGCAGTTTGTTCCGTCCTACTTTATGGCAGTGAAACATGGCCGATAAGAGTAGAGGATATTTGTAGGCTACTAGTTTTCGATCATAGGTGTCTTCGAAGTATTCCTCGTATATTCTGGGACCACTGAGTAAGTAATGCAATTGTTAGGAAACGGGTACAAGGTAAGGATGGCAAATCGAAGTAGTGAAACTTCATCAGTTGAGATTGCTTGGACACGTGTTACGTATGCCCAACCACCGACTGCCCCGACGTGCGATGTTTTATGGTGGAGTAGGTTGGAAGAAATTTAGGAGCGGCCAGACCAAATGTGGCACAAATCCATGAGGTCACTGACAATTGGACTGAGCCATGTTGGTAGGTGTAGACTACCTGGTTGGGGCAGGCGAGATGATAGCAAACGATGGTTAGAGACCTTGAATAACATGGCTCAAAATCGTTTGCATCAACTCTTTGTGTTCTCCCAAATTCTAATCTTCTGAATTCTTCATATCCCTTTTTTTCTCTTTCCAAATTTATTTCACTGGATTATACCCCTTGAATAACATCTTCAAACCCTAGTCTTTCTGATTATTCCTTATACTCTTACTACTTCTACCAATATGGGATTTGAATCGACAACTTTATCTCTGTGTTAATGTGGTATGGCAACTCGGACTGATGTACGTACATACGAAGTTCTACGTTGTGACTGACTGATAGATATCACATGTCCTAACTGCCTCAGTTGGTGAAGATTCCCTACTTCATCAATTGACTTTCTATCCTTACTTAGCACTTTGCGATTAGCTTCAGCATTGTCCACTCGGTGCTCCTTAAATGCACGAACAATGTTTCAAAGTTATCTTATAGACATAATAAAGTAAAACAGGGATAATGAATAGTATACTCGTCTTTTGGTCGGTAGACGGATGCTTAGTCTTAACCACAAGTGACGTATGTTGACGAAAATAAAACAGCACCAAAAGGTTAAAGAAGATCAGTCGACCTCTGGAGGTTCTACTAGACTAATATATGCCTAGAAATTTATCAGTGGGTCCATTACTCAATGAGGGAGCACAGATCGAAATAGAAATGAACAAAGACTACGTCATAATTGAGAAGTGGTGGGTAACGAAGATGGAGACAGTAGTGGTGATGGGTAACATAAAGCAATTGTTTAGGGTGATTAGAGATAAAAAGTCGGTTGTTAACGAAATTATCTCTCTAAGAGATGAACTACTTTCAAATCGAGCAATCAGAATTTTGAGCAGAAAACACTGTAACAGTTTAACTAGTATCAAGCTACAATCTAACTACCCAGTATTCACTAACAGTCTGAACAGTATAGCACTATCTCATCTCACAGAAATCAAGAAAGCAATGACTTGAAGTGAAATATGACAGCTGATTAATTGTCTCCTGAGGTTTATCTTCAACAGTTAGATTGACTGACAAGTTAGAGAATGGAACCCGAATATAATTTTGACCGACTGACTGTGACCGACAATCATTCCAATTTATAAACAGGGATGAAAATCCTAGCGTGACAACCATAGAGGAGTCCATAAGACTGATAATGAACCTAAAACAGTGTCATTTACTATCACCCAACACTTAGCTATGTGAGGTCTGTAAACTTAAAAAAGGTTATTCCTAGACCTAGCACCGACTAAATACTTACCATTCGGAGTTTTAGCATGTAGATAAATTTATTAATGCTTGGCTAGTAAGATTCCTTAACTTTGAAGAAATATAATTGGATAAGATTATGGAAAGATGAGATACAGAATCTGGTTGATGATTGCTAAACAAAAGTTCAAATAAAACAACAGTACCGACGGTTTTAGAAAATTTAAGATTCGTATGCAGTAACACACTCAATGTAAATAAGCACTGCAATTGTACTTAAAACAATTAAAACTTAACAGTGACTAAAAAGTACCAACGATGAACAATGTTTATGAACTGTGCAGCTGCACAATTTTATTCAGATTACGACTATAGTAAAATGTACAGATCTGCTTTGGAAAAATACAATCTGAATTATATAAAATAATTAAATTTAATGTCTTATTTACTTCAGATAAGCTAAAACAAGAAACCTTGACAACCTCATTGCTGGAAGTTTTATCATAACAGCCGATTATTAATTTATTAACAGACCATGCACTGATAATTAAATTTCTTTGTTCAGTACATGGTGCGACGAATCTTAGCAAACATTGACTATACGGTCTATTTTGTGGAATAAATAAACTCCACTCTAATTCTGATCCATACACATCTTGCAGATCGACATGAATAGGAATTAATCGTACAACAGATCCACGAGGTTTACCATTCATTGAAACAACACCCATAGTAAAGTAATATGTACATGAATTCAATAAACAGCCTTTTACAATAACGGAAAACACCAAAAAATTAGGCCGTTCACTTGCAACAACTAAAAGTTTAGAACATGGTTTCACTGGAGCATCTAAGTACATATTCTGTGCCAATTTACTGAACGTAAACCGTTCTGACACGTATTCACCCACAATATGTTTCCCACTGTCGTTTGTGCGCAAGAGGCAACCAACAAGTTCGATTGATGATGGATTGAAATGAATGCCTAGAATGCAAACAGACTGTGATAATGATGACGGTTTTTCTGAACAATGACTTAACGCAGTAAACCAAGAGTTAAATTTCGGCTCAGGAGCATCCATTGCATCACAGCGACACAATAAGGGAATTAAACATAATTTTCCATCATATGATAACTGATGAATGGTGTATGAAAGCATATCAGGAACATACAGAACAAACATCAGATCGTTTTTACGATTGACATAAAATTCGTACACAATACCCGAAGAACACGTACGATCTGTATTGAAATTCGTATTTATTACTGGGACTGTTTGTACATCCGTAAGGCATGGGTGATTTAAATTGTTGTCGACCGTGAAGCTGAAAACGATTGGGATAGAAAACATGAATAATGATAACAATAGGACTGGTAAGTTCTTTGGTGAGTGTTTTTCAGCCAATAAGACGCCTATATGGACAGTTTCTTTATCGGAGCTGCCTGGAGGTATAATAATCTCCAACAGTGTCACTTCAGAGATGGACAGCTTTTTTTCCCACAATAACCGTGACTCATAGTTACAAAGTGATATACTATACAAAGTGAGCATATGATTAGAATCGTACAAAGTAATTAACAGAGAATCAGATAAAAGAATACAAGATCCTAAAACACATAAAGCTATGTGCCTGCAACATTCTTCGCTGGTAGGTTGAATAAGTACACCTTGCACTGGCGATTCACTTGATCTGAATAGTTTTACATCAGTGACTCCTACTGTGATTAAATTAAATGTTTAAATATTTACCAGAACATTCCGGAACTATTTCAGATGTTTCCTCTGTTACAGGCAACAGAATACTCGGCTGGGTGGTGAAAGTAGACTTTAGTTTCTTTTCAGCTTTCTGTAAAAAATTTGCCAATCAAAGATTCACGAATACCTGAAGAAGCAAACGTTTCTTTTCAAGCTCTTGCTGCAAAACGTGAACACGTTCCTTAAGATTCTCACTTCGATTCATCATTATCTATATATAGATAATGAGTATAGCTTCAGTTAGTCCAGGAGTATTGCACTGATTTAAATCAACTAGACGTATTTAGCACTGCAACCAACTACTAAGCCGTAACAGAATTCTCAAGGAAATTCATGGTGGCGAGGAGAAAACCTATGACTCGAAGGAAAAATTCGCAGCACTGTTTTAATATGATATATTCCCTTCTCAGATAATATTTCAATTACTAAAGAAAGCCAAGGACTGAATTACACTGCCCAAATTCAACAACGTAGTCTACACAACTCACTCGAACAGCTGTTAGATTAGTCAACAAACTTAATGGATAGCTCCAGTCTTTGATTTGCCCGCATCTACATTTTCTAGGCTAAAGGATGGTATAAAGGTGAGTAGAAAACAGAATGATATAAATTCCCAGCTACTTTCTGGTTAATCAGACATCGTTATTTTATAAGTGAGAAAACAGTGATATTACTAAATGTAGACAGAAATCGTATAACTAATAAGTTTATTAATAGTTTTTAAAAACCCAACAACATTAGACAACTTAGGTCATAAAGGGTATTTTGTATTTGAAATGGATGAGGTCGATTGCGTGCGTACGGCTAGTATAATTTTCTGGCGTCCGCACATTTTCATAGTCTGCTAATGTAACTCTATTGAATCCAGAAAGTGCTCTTCAAGTATGAAGGCGTGTAGCGGTAAATAAATCCTCAAAATCAATAGCTCTGCAAGTCTTCCATAGTTGATACTGATCGCATCAGCTTTACTGAACTCACCTAGCTGAAGGTGCTCGGTCACGCATCCGCACCAGACCACGAGTGGGTAAGCGGTACTACGTATCTCCTACAGCCCTTAGTCAGATTATATTGATCACTTCTCGATAGCATATCATATATATCTTCGAACATCTTCACTTCTGATTTGACTAAGTTGGCATATTTCGACTATAAAGGTGTTACGTGTACAGACGTCAAACTCCGAATACTTGTGGCACCTTCAACTTTTATGTTCTCTATGTATTTTATCTAAACATTTGTTTTTAAGCCATATTAAACCGAGGTTTTCGTTCTATCTCGTATATCAGGTGCCGTTAATCTCTGGTGGTTAAATTTTCGAGGTCACATCACTTTATAGAATTCCATCGTAGACTTACATTACTGATATGTTCCATATAAACTCCCAGTATTAGATAATGAGCACATTTACGTTTTCCATACTGACTGATAATTGTGCGACCAATGTAACTCCTCCATAAACCGCATTAAAATGTGGAAGAAATAATTTAATACATCGCCTGCGAAGTAATACAGCTGTTAATATTGCCTAAAATGACCAGTCCTCTACAGCTTTCTTTCATACTACTGATTATATCGTACACTGACGACATTTCCGCTTTTCCCAACCAGTCCCTGAATCGGCAAATAATGCACGACGTGAAATTATCTGGACAAGATTCGTAAGATGTGTCTGAGCCACCGAAGTCGATGTTCCAAGATGATGACACCTTTAAATTGTCGTTGCTGTGCCCTGACATACGATCCCGAACCTCTGCATTACGAACACAGTGTTGCCACTCGATATCAACAATCCTTCGGAGACTAAGATGATCAAACATAGACACTCGTCTAACGCCCTCCACTTCGAGAGGTTAGGCCTCATTAGCGCACAGAAAAACTGCTCTCATAGATGCGTTGTAGATCCGATCTTTTGCAGACAGACCTACATCACTATTAAGCCAAAGATGGTCCACATCCGCATAAGCGTCTGCAGCTTTCACTAAACGTGAATCAATCTCGTCGATCACGCGACCACCAGCACTTATGCAGCTACCCAGATACACGAACTCCTCTACTACTCCTGCCCGCTCACTACTCAGGGAGAGTGAAGGTTAAGGGGCCCACCAGTCTTGTGAAAGTACTGTGCACTTCGAATGTGCGGAGCACTTGTCATATCTATGAACACTGACTGCCTACTGATTAAGTGCGGATTGCGTGGATTGGGTATTATCACAGAGTGAGACAATATGGTCCGCATAATCAAGGTCGAAAAGTCCTTCTCCAGACAACAAACCCACACTGTCATTACCTGCATCCATCAGATCCATTTCCAGAACGTCATCAATAGCAAGGTTGAGGAGGAATGGCAAGATTAGGCAACTCTGCCTAGCCCCATTGTTTGAATGGAACAATGAAAAGAGGCGGTTGTATGCCCTCATTCTGCCTGATGTGTTTGTATATAGAGCTTTCAAGATGCTAATAAACTTCTTAGGCACACCATTATTAATAATCTATTTGTGCAAGGGCAGGTATACGCCACTTTTACAGGCATGATCTACAAGTTACAACATATACTGGTTCACAGTATGTATCCCAAGCAGGGTTGTTTAGTAAATATAATCTGCAAGAGTGAATATCAGTTCATTCGTTCAAAATACCGTGTAGTCTTCAAAATATTTTCCAAAGGGGTATTGCGTCCACGTTACACACCAGATTCAATCTCGGGAAAATCGTGTTAGGATTTTGGTCGTGCTAAGTGTTTATGTAATGCAAGTTTTTAAGTTTATGGTTGTTATAAAGTAGACTTGTGGGGCACTTGGTGTGAACTATGACCTTGAGAAAGCGCCTACGTCGAGTTTATTCCAGATGTCAGAAGTTCAATAGCTCTGCCTTCAGAGGAAGACTCTGAAAAAAAGAGAAACCAAGGATATGAACTATAAACAATGCTTAAGATTTAGCAGTGGAACAGATAGAGGTGTGTTATAAGAATAAATGCATACTAGCTCTTGTCGTTAGAGTGAAATATGATCAGCGGCTCCAGACGAGACAATCCAGTAATAAAGGACGATGAGTTGTGACATTTATCAAGGCGTAGTAAGTCCAAATGAAGGAAGGGAAATCAAGGTTGTAATAAAGAAGGCTGGTTATTAGAACAGAGGTTGCATATAGAGCGTAAGGTGTTAAGAAAACTAACAGCTATATCTTTTATTATCTGCTTTTTCCATTCGATGTCTGCCACACAGTTTTAACGTAAACGTCCAAGTTAACATGTTATAGGTTGTCACTCCCTAAAACACCATCGGTATTGTATCGCCCTTCAATCCAAAAAACATAGAAGAATGTTTAACAAATGACTGAGCTCTACTTGTGGTATTTGCCCAAATATGGACGTTCAAGTAACATTGATTACATAATAACTTCTAACATCCTGTCTTTTGATGCACGAAGTTTTATTTCGGGCGTTATTGTTACCTTTTTTCCTAAGTGCTTACTACATTCGTTTCTGCTCGTTGTTATTTGTATTACACATTGTCACGTCCTCGTTAATTTTTCGTTGGGATCCACTGCAAACAGCGCCTGCACTTTCAAAACAGCCTCTCTGTCTGGCGACTGCAAATTGACTAACGTGGACTAATGCAAAGAAATCTATTGTTACCTGTGACTTTGTTTGAGAGATTTTCGTTTGAGAACAAGCCATACCTTTCTAAAAAAAATTGTATTTGCATTTCTTGCCACCTTCTTTAATATTCTTTTCTATGACAAAAAGGGCATCTGATATGTAATAGTGAACAAACCCCAAAAGAAGAGGTTTTGTTGGTCTTCAGTGTTGATACTGACCTCATCAGGTTTTACCAGACATGCCACTAGCCAGGACTGTTTATTAAAGCATCTGCACCAGATCACATACGGTTAAACCGTTTCGCGTACCTCTTTCGACAGCTTTACAGTGCTATCTTTCGATAAGTTAACAGTTAATTTATGTCTCTTCACTTTATCACCTGTCAAACAGAATTCATCTAGTCACAGAGTGAAGATTTCTAAACATCTTAAACAGGCTTTTGGAAACGTGGTCGATAGGCTGAAACAAATAGAAAGAGAAAACTCGGTGTTTACGTATCATGAGTTGTCCTTGTCAATGACAAGTTTGAAATAATTATGATTTTGTCATACAGGGCAGACAAATGTAGATAACTAAAAACTTACTGTCAATCTAGTTTATGCTGTAGCATTGTTCGGTCTTCCGTATTGTTTTACGTTTAAACACTAAACAATACTTAGGTATAGTGTGTCATTAGAATGGATGTCGATGTCTACTGGTTATTAGCTATATACAGACAGATTCCATTTCAGAATTAACTGTAGTACATTTAATACTTTCCTTATGAACAATTTCAAGCAACAGTGATCATAATCGGTGACCTTACGAGCTAATATAACAGATATTGTGTTGGGAACAAATTAAATATGTAATATAGTGATGAATTATACTTCTCAGTCAAAAAATGGATTTATCCAATTTGAAGTTGCGTAAGCATATTATGTTACTAACTGACTAGCATCACAAGTAACTAAAAGTTATCGGTTGATCAAACACTTAGAATGATGCACAACTCATCATTAGGATTATCCTGAACCCCGTAGAATTAGTGATTGACGAATAGATCAGTCTGTTTTTTTGCATCAACAAGGCAGTATCGTTCCACTTTAATAAGTGGGATGTAGAAGTGTTCCTTAGTCATCACAGACTGCCGTTTCTGTAGCAGAAATCAGTATTTGGCTCAAATTACAACCTTCGCAAATCAGTTTTGTCCTGAGACACTAAATAATGTATTGTAAGCGAAAAAGCATGTAACGCAGAATATTCTTTGCAAGCTACATGAGAGGTTATAGTGTGGAACACTACAAAGTGCGCTGTTGGACATCCGAGTGTTGCCATAGTAGAGTAATCTGTATGTAAAAAGTAACAGTATCACAAAACTTCCATACTTATTTGGTGCGACTTCTAGTTATGTATACGGCTAAACACTTGTTCCCAACCATCGTTGAACCATAACCGTACTAATTTGTATCAGGATAGTACAAGTTTCAGCTTTTCATGCCAACACCACCAGTAGGATCTCGAGGTTTTACTAGAAGATTGTTAATTACTTACAAGTCGACTAGTGTTACCAGTATGAAATGGATATTTATTTAGTTGATACTAGTTGTTTCGAACGTCAATGAATCTCT